GTGATAATCCGAGTTGAATCTTCCCTATTGCGTCTGAGTGAGTTTTTTTTCTGAATTTACGCACTCCCACACATATTTTTGGTTTAACTGGCTACTACATATGAATGTTGAGCATGATAATCCAATTTGTACAAGGTATTAAATTAAAAAGTATTCTAATTAATGGATTTCGGAGAACTTTACCTAAGTAAAATGTAGATGAAGCAGTGAGTATTTCTCTCCTGAACATTTTTTTAAATAAAAAATAAGACAAATTGTCTCTATCAGCTTAACCCCTGCTATACAGTTCTCATCTGGAAGTTGGTACTTTCAGTAATATAATACTGTCATTTATTCGGTAATTTTTTTATTTCTAATACGTCCGCATGTCGGATCGCGACGATTTCGGTATCATTGGATTCCTCTCACTATCAATAACGCAAATAAGGGTAAAGGTTAAGTTTCATACAGCCGCCCCAACCCTCACACTTTTGGCCCCGATAGCAGGGGAAAGCATGAAAGATACCAGGGAAATTGTGGGTAAAATGTAAATGATACACAGAACCTGTCACTACATTTGGCCTGTTTGTTAAAATTGTGGGTTCAGGTAAATTTCCAGCCAGCCTTCTTTATGAAAAATAATATATGCAAATGATAGAGCGAGTAATTATAAGAAATTTATCTTCTATGAACTTCAACGCAACTCAGTAATAATGAAGTTATTGGACACGCAAGTGTCTCAGAGCCCAAAATGATCTGCAAGGCTTGACAGCCAACTGCCCTTTAGACAAAAATAATATATGCAAACCATAGTTTGTATGATGAATATGTTGGGTCGTGCCTTGTACAATTTTAACAAACTAGCTGATTGTCTGATGCAGGGGCTGTTCCCCCTGCAACCCCCCCATGGGGGCTGCCACCCCCCAACCCCCACACAGGAAAGCAAAGAATCCTCCATGTTTTCATGGCAGGAGAGAGTATTGGACAGACACGGCAAAGCGGCACCTGCTGTTGATATGTGGAGGATTCTTTGTTTTCCTGGGCATGGTTTGGGGGTGGCAGCCCCCCATGGGGGAGTGGCAGGGGCCTGCCATGCTCTGGTGTTGCATTTTGATGTAGGAAAACAATTTTCATTACAAGATAGGGCTTAAGGTCCACTCAAAATTAATCTTTTATTTTTGTAAGATAATAATCCTAGCATGTTTATAGTTGATGAGTATTGTTTTAGAAATGATTTCAACTGGAGTGCTATGCATTGGTGATTGTATTTTATTCTTAGAGAATGGGATAGTTCAAAGCCTCGAAATGCATTGAAAATGGAAAGAACCTAGTTTCTTTGTTTATTTTAGTGAAATTTTTAAAATTCAAATAATTGTATTTTGAATATTTTGAGATAGATAGTTTGGCCTTTTTATTTCTATTTTTGGATTACTTTTGGTGTGTATATACAGTCTGAGAATGACAAAAACTTTTTAGTTTTATGCTGATTACTTGTGATAATTATGAGCCTAATAAGACATTCAAAATTTAGGATCAGATTTATAATGCAGCCCGTTATATTATCAGCTTTTTTTTTGTAATCTTTATATCAGTAATATAGTTTGGAAGATGATTAATGATTTTGCAGAACAAGATTTATCTTCAATAAAAGTTATGTCATTCATTCATCCATTGTCATTTTCACTGGCTTCCATTAAGAGCCATTTCTGATGGCCAGTATTGTTATGTAATAAGCTTAATGTTCCGCAGATTTGGGCACTGGGTCTTAGAAACAATAAGCAAGTTACTGTGTTCCTGTCCTTAAGTTTACTCCATGGTATCTCTGGGAATATGTATACGTCTGGAAACATAGGTCAGTATATGGTAAACTGTTGGTCATTAATTCTCTTTATCTTTTTCTCTTTTTTCAGCTTATTTTGTTAGTCAGTCTGTCTTCAAGAGGACAGATAGTGAACTAGCTATATGAATATTAGTATTTTTCTGTATTTAAAGGATTCAGGTATAAACATAACTTTTATAACAATTGAACAGTACTGAGCAACTAAAAATAACTTTTTATTCTTACAGGTTTTGATGTGCTGGTCGCATGGAGCTCAAGAGTAAGGAGTAAGCAGAGTTTACCTCAGGTTTTCAAGGAACAATTTTTTGCATCAAGGTTTACACTACATGAAATAGTCATAAATGGAGTGTACTGTAGTGACTGTTTATAATGTCCACTATGATCTGTGATCCTTTCTAGCTTCCATCATTCAGCTGCCATGGCTCTTGAGTGCTCAGAGTGTGGTAAACAATTTGCAAATAAAGAGGCTCTCAATAAACACATGTTAATGCATACATGGGAAACACTTAATAGTTGTGAACATTGTGGTGAGACCTTTACACAAAAGGTTTCTCTTAAGAAACACATGATCGGTCATGGTGATAAAAAACCCTTTAAATGTGAACTATGTGGGAGTGCTTATAGTGCGAACAAGAACTTGAAAAGACATCTGAAAACATGTGGTAGTACAGGAAGCCTTAGCAAAACAAAATGCCTTCACCCATCCTGTGAGAAGAGGTTTTGTTTTGCTGAGGTATAACCAAGATGATCCATCACCTAGAGAGCCATCACTCGGGAATGAAGGTGGAAGTCAATGAGATTCATTTCCAGTCCCTCTCGGATTTCACAGAATGGAAGGAAGAAGAAGAGTACCGGACCCACACGTTCTTCAGCAGGGCCAGTGGGAAGACACACCTTAAGGGGGCAGTGTACTGGTACTTCACCTGTCAGCATGATGGATCAGCAAGGTTCCATTGCAAGAAGGGTGAGGCAGGGAGACTTACCAATAGGAAGTGGATGAAGGGGAGAGTAAAGACTGGCCTCACCTGTCCTTCCCGCATCATGGCCAGGCAGTTCAGTGACGGTAGAGTTTCAGCTAAATACATATCCACACACAGTCATGATGTCATCTCTGAGAACAGGAAGTTCCAGCCTTTGTCAGGAAGATTGCTGAGCATGGTGAAACAGCAGTTAGCAAATGGAATTGCCCCCAAAGAAATTCAAAAGAAGCTGCAAAAGGGAATTGTACTCAATAATGATGGAGTGCCAAAGAAAGATCACCTGGTGACACTGAAGCAGCTCAATCAGCTGAAGAGGAAAATCTGGCAGAAATCTCAACCAAGACTTAGTGACCTGTGTTCACTTGTGTCCTTAGTCAGTAAGCTCAAAGAAAGTCCATCAGATCCAGTCATTGTATACAAGCCACGTGGGCAAAACATTGTCTGTGGGAACTCCAGTCTTGCTGACTTGCCGCACTCACTAGACCTTGTCACAATAGGCCTTCAGACAGAGGAACAGCAGAGAGTCATAAAAGACAATGTTTTGAGGATTGTAAGTATTGTGCCAATTAATTGGTTCAGTGAAATGGACATTTGCATGTTTAGTTTGGTGGTGCCAGATGACTGCGGATTTGGTTATCCCATTGCACATTTCATCACAAACTATGTGGATGAAGCAACTTTGAGGTGTTTATTTTTAAGCCTTTTAGAGAGATATCCCCTTTTGAAGATCAATGCTATTATGACAGATGAAAATAACTTTGGTTTAAATGCTATTAGGTCAGTGTTTGGAGATACAAGACATCTACTTTGTCAGGGCCACACTAGAAGAAATTGGCAGGAGAAATTACAAAAATTGATAAACTGTGATAAAACCAGGTATGAGGTTTCTGCAATCTTGGACATGTTGTTGTATGAAAGGGAAGAAGAAACATTTAAACAGATGTGTTATACTTTCATTGAGAGTTATGGTAAAACATGCTCAACATTTATAGAGTACTTTTGTGAGCATTATTTGGACAGACAGCTGAAGTGGGCCAGTTGCTTTAGAAGACTTCCTGAAGGTAGATTTGATTCTATGGAATATGGTGAAGCCTTCAAATGTAGACTTAAAGGTTGTCAAAGAGAGAGAAATTGTGCTAATGCAATGAGTGACTTTGTGCTGACACTCCTGGCTTTGGAGCAGGGAGACTCTGTAAACACTTTAGACCGCAGAAGACAGCAAATTGATGAATCTAATAGACACACCAAGGGAATGCAAATTCCAGACAGCATTGTGTCCCAGGAGAGTGGGGTTTGGAAAATTACTGATGGAAATCACTGTCAAGGTTTTTACTACATTACGAAGGTTGCAGATGTTTGTCGAGAAGACCTTTGCTTCCAGAAGTGCCTGGACTTGTCATGTGCAGGTTTGTGTTCTCATCTTTATGTGTGTGATTGTGAAGACATGGCAGGGCTGTGTAGGCATGTTCACAAAATACACTCTATGGAATTTAGGAAAAGGAGTGCACTGAAGAGTGAACAAGAAATTTATTATGAGCATGAACAAGAAGTTTATTGTAGGCCAGAAGAGGTAGTATATGAAGAACAAGAACAAAGATATTTTAGTGAGCAAGTTGAACTGGTTAGTGATGAACCAGAACACAGCATATACATTGCACAGGAATTATCACTCAAACAGGAACCTGAGTTGTATTATGAGCAAGAAATTTTTATTGAACAGGAACAAGAAATTTGTACTGACCAGAAACAGAATGTGTGTGAACAAGTTCTTGTATTTGAAGAACATGGAGGAGAGGGTTTTGTTGAAGGGAACTTGAATCATGATTGCTCAGAGGTTGAAACCATTAGTTGCATAGCAGACGATAAAAGGTGCAGGCAGAAAGTGAACCATAACATTGAAGAACGTGAAACTCCCTCTTCAGAGCATGAGCATTCATTGGCAAAGGAAGGTAGCACCTCAGATGCCATTATTACAAACATCAACAGACTCAAATGCTACATTAAAGATCCTAAGGTGAAGAAACTCCTCTTGTCACATATCTCAGGCACTATGAATAAGCTTGTTATGCATTGTGAAGCTGTGTCTCCTGATTTCAAAAAGTTGAGCCCTTCCAGTGCGGTGGCAGAGGGGGGAGTGTCCAGTCCTTCTATCACTCTTGTAGACAGCCAATCCTCCACTCCCTCCGTCTCTGTTGTTCATCCTGGAGACCCAAGTTCTAGTACTGCTGAATACTTTCAGCACAGGTGAACAGAATTTAAAACTTTTAGGACATATATTTCAGAGCCATCAATTTTTAACCAACATTCTCCCATATATATTTTTATGTTATTTACATTGTCTGTGCTTAGAATTTCTGGCTCAAATGGGCTGATTTTGTAATGGGCTCTTATTTTTTCATCCAGCTTGTCTACACACTTCTTTTGTATAGGCCTATGTAAGAGTGGGAGGTTTCTATATACATGGGTGTGAGTCATGGCTTGTAGTCCAAGGTTAGGAATTGCAACCACTTGGCGTAACAGTCTCCATCTGCCAAGTAAAAGCCCATCAAACAAAAGAAGGCACCGTCCTAGCCCGTTCAAGGAAGTTCACCTTTTAAAACCTGTCACACATATCTTTTGTATATGAATTAAATCATTTAATGAAAAAAGGTTTTTAGTGTGTGAACCTTACCAAAGATTGATTACTGTGTTCTCGGCTGTGGAGTGCATATTAAGTTTATTGAGAGTAAATTCACGGGTTTTACTTAAAGAAATGTACATATTTTTGGATAATGTTGAACTTGTCAAGCATTTTTTTGTGAGGCATAATATTCATACTAATATCAGCCATTATTTGCTTTTTATTTTTCTCAGTTTGAGGAAGCTGTTATACAGTATTGTTTTTGTGGTACTATTTATTATCTGCTTGAGAAACATCTTTTGAAATCTCACGGATTATAATTGTATATAAAATGATTTTGTCATTATTACCATATCTTATTTACCTTTAGAGATGAAAATTTAGTAAATGATTGTATGTACTGTAAGGAAATATGCATCACAAGTGTATATGAGTGAGGGAATTAAGATACAAAAATATTTGTGAAAATTGAGGCATTGTTAATGAAACCAAAATTATTTCTACAGTTCATGGGCATTGTCCAATGGAGGCTATTAAACATTAATGAATTAAGATTATATAAATATGTTAGACATACACCACAAACTATGCTATTTTGGATGTTTTGATACATAAATACAACACAGACTATTTCTGTACAGATCCCCTCACAAAGCCCTTTGTTTCTAATTGGGACAGTCCTAAACACACCATACTCACACCCATGGAAAAACACAACACAAAAAACATGTTCAAACAGACATACACTTCTCAAGGGATCTACACAGACAACACCACAAGGACTGTAGACCTGCTTAGAAAATTGGACTTTCCAAATCCTTCTAAAAAAAAACTTTTCAAAAATACGTAAAAGCGTAACGTAAACATGTCACCCATCTCCTGAAAAATGTTAGAACAACCACAGATATTTCTTCAATATTTTCAAGTCATGCATACAAGAAACCATGGCTATCAAAACCCTGAAATGCATCAAGATCAATTTTGTGGCCGACCCAGAAAACTAAACATAATTATTCAACACATTTCCAGTCCGGTTTTGTGCATGGAGACATCACTACACTCTACATGTCAGGCAGTCCTTAATCCCCACCTCCATGACATATGGAGTATAAGTATACAGAATCTACTAAAGACATTGGACTCAAAAAGTGGATCTGACCAAATCCCAGCCCTAATTCTGAAATCTTTCTCCGCTGTCCTTGCTCCAGTTCTTCAGTCTATCTCTACCCAGTCACTCACCATGAGCATCTTACTTGGAGACTGTATATTTCACTTTCCTCTTCAATAAAGGTGATCGCACAACCCCGGCAAATTATCGTCCCATTTCTCTCGCACTGATCGTTTGTAAAATCTTTGAACATAGAATACATAACACATTATGGGTTACACCGTTACATTGACGCACACATGAACCTTTTCGGTCTACACATTCATATACGACACAGTCACAATCCATCATTGCATTGCCTGACAGTTAATCAGCTGTGACATTAAACAATTGATGCCATAATGCTTGACTTCACTAAAACCTTTGACAAAGTTTTTCACAAAACGCTGACGCTCAAATTGCAGTATTACGGGATCACAAGACATCCTCTGAATCTGGTGTCTCGTGAGACACCGTTCTTGGCCCCCTTCTGCTCCTTCTGTATATTAAAGACCTCCCACTATCCAGTCCCAACTCCAGAATTTTTGCTGATGAGTCTCTTATTTCGACTAATTGATACTGAAGACGACCGCATACTCGTCCAACACGACATTGACGCCCTCAAACAGAAAACACATGGCGAATGACATTCAAATGACATAAATGTAAGATGCTACGATTCATCAGATCAGATAAATGTCTCTCTACATAGCCAACAGCTGACACCCACATCCTAGGACTACCTCGGAGTACACCTCACACAACGAACACAAGCAGAGCCAACAGAACATTTGGATTCCTGAGGAAAAACAAATAACTGCACACCAGACAAACACACTTGTACGCCCAATACTTGAATACTGTACGGTTCTATGGGAACCCTACCCCAAGCAACATTGAGAAGCTCGAACAGGTTAACACTAGGGTAACCTGGTTTATTACACAGTTATACACCACTGGCGTAGCTTC